CCATAGTGGCTGTATCAATTTACATTCCCACCAACAGTGCAAGAGGGTTCCCTTTTCTCCACACCCTCTCCAGCATTTATTGTTTGTAGATTTTTTGATGATGGCCATTCTGACTGGTGTGAGATGATATCTCATTGTAGTTTTGATTTGCATTTCTCTAATGATTAATGATGTTCCCATTTTTGACAAATGACACAAAGTATCATTGGGCTTTCTGACTAAGCTATAAAATACCAAAATGTGTCATGTTTTAAAAATACATAGTATTGGGACCTCCCTGGTGGCGCAGTGGTTAAGAATTCACCTGCCAATGCAGGGGACATGGGTTCAAGCCCTGGTCCAGGGAGATCCCACATGCCGCAGAGCGTCTAAGCCCGTGCACCACAACTACTGAGCCTGGGCTCTAGAACCCACTAGCCGCAACTACTGAGCCCGTGCTCTAGAGCCCGCAAGCCACAACTACTTAGCCCGCACACCCAGAGCCCGTGATCCGCAACAAGAGAAGCCACCGCAATGAGATGCCCGCGCACCGCAACGAAGAGTAGCCCCCACTCGCCGCAACTAGAGAAAGCCTGCGTGCAGCAACGAAGACCCAACGTAGCCAAAAATAAATAAATTAATTAATTTTAAAAAAAGACCAAGTTTAACTGTAAAAAAAACCCAACATAATATTTACCTACTACAAGTAAAATTCTGTCTCTGAATTCTCTCTATTATTTCCTCATTGCTAGGACACAGTAGTTTTTTTTTTTTCCCTCACATCCTGATATTTTGGAGAACAGACTGTATCTTACGATCAGCAGTATATAATAATGTATCAAATTGTTTTACAATCAGTAGTATCCTAGAATTGAAAACATAGTAATTATTACTATATTTATGAATTAACAGCAAGATGTTGAAATCAATTCTACTATAAAAGAATATCTATTTGGTAAATAAGTACATTTTAAAATAAGAGAAAATTCAATCGGCACTGATAGTTTTTGTTGCTTTTTATATGCATTTTAGAGCTGTACAAAATGTAATTGCACAGAAGCATTGTGGCCTTTTGGATATGCTAATAAATCAGCCAACACTTGTCTCATTGCAGATCACGAATGTTCACAGCAGCCGGGCTCTTGATGTTCAATTCCTGGACTCTGGCACTGTGACGTCTGTGAAAGTGTCCGAGCTCAGGGAAATTCCCCCTCGGTTTCTCCAAGAAATGATTGCAGTACCACCTCAGGTACTATATGTTACAAGCCTAGGAGATCGGCTGAAAGGGATTTGGATGTGTTCATAATCACATTGTGAGATGCTCTCTCAGTTTTTGATGATGATTGAGTTTAACAAAATTGGAAATGATCCAAATGGTGGCTCACTTAGACAAGAAGACCAGTGAGACTTACAGAATATTGTTTGATAAATGTTTGTTTTCAAGCATGTTGAGTCACCAGGCTATATTGTCCAGTTAGAGGTTCCACTTTAATAATTAGATGCCAGTGCTGGCTTCTACACAGTTTCAGGATATTATATGTAAATATTTACTTCCAGAGTTCTTAATTTAATTAGGTAACCATTCTCTTCGGATATATGTTTATATTTAACCTTCTCCTCATAGATTTTAGTGAAAAGATTAACTTCAGTCTATCCTTCCTCTCTTGATAAAAATTCAAGATGATAAGAAGTTTGAATTATTTTGAATTAATTAAAATTATTAATAGCTATTTCCTACTTAGGAGAAGTAGAGTTTGTACAGAAATCCATCATGCTTTGAAAATAAAATTGTTCAACATTCTATAATTTCAAGGGGCCCCTTGACCTATATTTACCAGAAGATTTCTTATGTATCAAAACTCAGTGAATAAAAGGTACTTGACCATAATTTGCATGGCTTTTATAATTTCTCTCACTGCAGTCACTGTTGCCTTTCCTAAAATGACTATTGGAGAGAAGCTGTTTAACTTGAGTTCAAGCCAATTTTCAGAATCACATTTTTTCTTATTGCTGCTCAGCATAATATTGAAAATTGTTAGACCTTTAAGTGCTGCTTTCACTTGATAACACCTTTGGCCTCTGTACCCCTTGTTAGAACATCCATCTAGGGCCAGCCTTACCTAGAAAAGGTTTCCGGTGCTGGAGGAGATGGGTGATCTGTCCCACTGCTTCTGACTGTCTGAAAATTACACAGGTGTACTTTCTTGGTAAAAGCCACTATAATTTTTTCTATTAATCTTATCTGGATTTTTTATTTGATAGATGTGAAGTTGGGGGAACCTTTAAAACCAGCTAGGGCAAGCCTCTGGCTAACAACATCTCCCCAAGAGGTTCAGAGTAGCAAACTGATGGCCTGTTGGCCAAGGCTGACCCATGAATATTGGGTCTGGGCCCTTGGCTCGTATAGTGTTTTAAAATGTGAATTAGTTGTCTGCTTCTAGCTTCTCTTGACAAACTAGAAAACATGACCCTATTGAGCAGTCCCCTTTATGGCACAGTGCTCTGCGGGAGCTTGGGAAGTGACGTTCTCCTCTGCAGGGCTTGTGCTCTCCAGTGTGCAGGCCCCAGCTGGCCCGCCTCACTCCCTCTTTGCCCACCTGGCACCTGCACTAGTAGAGTCTGCTCTCTTTGCTCTAAGTGACCTCCTCCCCACCCAGAAAGGTACCTCATGCAGGGGGCACAGTGGGAGACTTGGAGCCCCCAAGGATGAAGGGAGGGTGTATGACAGGGAGGTTGGGGCTCAGAGAGGAAAGAAGAAATCTAGGAATCCTGGAAGTAAGTTTCATCTCCTGCATAAAATTGCCTCCATCAATTCAAAGGCTTCCATGAGACTGGAGGGAGTCCCTGGGGTTACCTTTTCCTCCCTGATTCTGCCGAAGCTTGTGCAGTGATGGTGGGAGGTAAAAAGCATCAGGGAAAATGAGGCTTTTAGGGGTCACTGGGTTTTAGTTTTTCTTTCCCTCCTTAATTCTCATTACAACCTCCTTCAAAAGGTAAGTGCAAATGCCTGGGGTACTCAGGAAATGCTTCATTCAGCCGGAAGCCTCCGCAGAGGTTTTTACAACAGGAGTTAGATTTCATCCAAATGACACTTTTCATTTTTTTTTAGTTGGGCATAAAGGGAAGACCTAGATATAAGTCCCAATCTTGTCTTCATGACTTTGTGATCTTACACAGGTTAGTATCTCTGAGTCTGTTTCACCGTCTGTAAAATGAGATCACAACACTGTCCTGCCATGCAGAAGTACTGTAGGGTGAGAAGTATGTGAAGTGCCTGGTATAACCCTGGCTCATGATAGGAGTAGAGACAATGGTAGTAATATAAATAGATCAGGAACATAGCAGATGCTACAGCCCGAGAACTGTGATTGTCATTATTAGCTATTGCTGTTGCTTGCTCTCTATCTTGGCAACATTTGACTTGTAGGAAAATAATATTGACACTACTCATAAGTACCTGTTTTAAGATGGCGTGTCCTCTTTTCTGTTGTGTTTTCTTTTCAGGCTATAAAGTGCTGTTTAGCAGATCTTCCACAGTCTATTGGCATGTGGACACCAGATGCTGTGCTTTGGCTAAGAGATTCTGTTTTGAATTGCTCAGACTGTAGCATTAAGGTTAGTTATCTTACTGGTCTTGATAAAAGGGGGCTGTCAGCCAGACGGACTCTTTTTTTTTCCCACTTGTTTTTGTGAAAGAATTTTATCTTACTGTAAACTGATGCTTTCACCTCTGACACACTTTTATAGTCAAGAGGTTGGTTACATGTGTTGCTATAAGATATCTGATGGTTTAATTTTTATTTAAGAATATATCCTATATCTCCAGTGTTACTTTTAAACCCTTTATATAATTTTTTGATTATTAATAAGGTAGCAGGTAGTTCCGTGCTCCTATTTTGCTCCATGATAAGGAGTTAAGTCTGCAACAGAGGACCATGTATCTCTTGATAAATGTTTCTAAAGACCATTTAAATAAGTCCGGTATTTCTTTCTTTTATCCCTAAAGTAAAATGGATTATAAACAAATATTTGCTTGTAATCTTGGTTTTTGTCTCTTCCTAAAACTTATTTAAACTGCTTTATTTCTTTCACTAGCATGTTTCTTTTTCACACTCTTGCATCTTCATATCAAAAACGCTGCTCATATTTCCAAGAATAGAAATGTAAGATAATATTTCTCTATTTTAACTGATGTAAATAGTGTTATCATTTTATATAAGCATTTAACAATGTTAGCACTGAAATGTCCTTGAGAAATATCTTCATGAAGACCTCTCACTTACTCGAGCCCCCACTGATTTTCCTATCTTCATTCTCCTCTAGGGTTTATCATGTGCAATCACACAGTTATATACCATTTTATATTCTTCAATTGCCACATGAATATTGTTTTCTCAGCTACATTTTCAGCTCCTAAAGCCAGGGTATTGGGTAGTCAATAAAAATCTTTTTAATGGTTGATTTTTGAAATGGTGTTTCTGTACCATAAATATCAAAATGAATTAGCAGTCAGTACTTCATTAGCCCTCCAAAGAATGAATTTAAATAGACTCCCCTTGCTAGGAGAAAAGCTTTTAAAGTAAATTACTTTAGAAGGATTGCCTTGCTGGTGTCTCCTTGTCTTCATGCCTGTGTTCCTGCCTTTCATTTCTAGCCCAATTTGGTAAAAGATAGATGTGGCTAGAAGTGTCTCATTTTTGTTATTCCTAAGATAAACCAGAGGAGTTGATGAGAAGAATTAACAGTCACCCAGCCCTTTGGGACACACAGTCCAGTTATCAACGTGTGGTGCTCCCATACAGACATTCACCCCTCTGACAGAAAAAGGTAGCCAGGTGATCAGAGGTCTCCTGGGCGAAAGGTGCAAAATGGTGACTATAATTTTGGCCTATTCAGTGAGCTTTCTTCCTCTTTTTCTCCCAAGGTCCCTCTCCTCTCATGTAACTGGGGGAAAGGGAGAGGGGTGAGAGCAGATATTAGGACGAAACAAGGACTTTGGACCAAAGATCCCAAAGGGTATGGTGAAGGTCAAAGCTTTTTCTTTCCCTTCCCTGTCTGAGGGTACACCAGCATTAAGCAGAATTCTTACAGGACATTTTGCCATTTTTATTATTTTTTATTGTTGAAGTTGGATGATGAGCACATGGGGATTCATTGGGTTACTCTTTCTTCTTTGAGTGTTTTAACATGTCATTAATATAAAAAAATTAATCATGATATATAGAATCACTTCCTCTCAGTGATAATGACCTCTACCCAGTCATAGATATTCTCAGTTTTTAGAGGTTAGTAAATTTTTCATTTCCACAAGCTTACCACTGGTTCTAGACTACTTGGACCTACGAGCTTATTCATTGCTACAGCTGTGATAGATAATTCATCTGACCTCAAATAAAATGATTTTAGCAAGTTGGGTTCCTTTCAAAATGCTGTTTTATAATATTTAAAGTTAATATTATAACCACCTCAGAATTCAGCGTGAACTTGGATTTCTTTAAGTTGGTTTTGTGTGTTTTCCAAAGGTGACAAAAGTGGATGAAACCAGAGGGATGGCACATATTTATTTATTTACCCCCAAGAACTTCCCCGACCCTCACCGCAGTATCAATCGCCAGATCACAAACGCAGACTTGTGGAAGCATCAGAAGGATGTGTTTCTGAGTGCCATATCCAGCGGAGCTAGCTCCCCCAACAGCAAGAGTGCGAACACCTCCATTGTGGGCAACACTGGAGAGAATTTCAGAAAGAGCCTCTCGGATATCCTCAAAAAGTCGTTGGTAGACCATACCAGCTCTTTCTCCATGGAGGAGCTGCCACCTCCTGTCCACTTGTCCAAGCCAGGGGAACACATGGATGTGTACGTGCCAGTGGCCTGTCACCCGGGCTACTTTGTCGTCCAGCCGTGGCAAGAGATACATAAGCTGGAAGTTCTGATGGAAGAGATGATTCTTTATTACAGTGTGTCTGAGGAGCGCCATGTGGCAGTGGAGAAAGACCAAGTGTATGCTGCAAAAGTGGAAAATAAGTAGGTCCTTGGACAGACAGAGCCTTTTATTCTCCTCCTAAGAAAAACGTGTAGAATGATACCAAGAGTCCTTAATCCCTGCAGGGGGACTTGGAACTGCACAAATGGGAATTTTGAATGTGAAATAAGACCAATGAATTGTGCAATTTTCTTATATTTAAAATGATGCCATTTATCTAAAAATCTAATGACCCTAGTCCTCTTAAAAACCTCATTATATCTAAAGTGAATGTTTAAATATTTTTTCTACTTTCCTGTGAGAAAAATATTTTTTTATTTAAGAAATAATGTTTTTTATTTAATGACTTTTTAAATTTTAAAAATAAAATGTTTAGGGGCTTCCCTGGTGGCGCGGTGGTTGGGGGTCCGCCTGCCGATGCAGGGGACGCGGGTTCGTGCCCTGGTCCGGGAGGATCCCACATGCCGCGGAGCGGCTGGGCCCGTGAGCCATGGCCGCTG